TAACATAATTGCTGTTAGTCACCTGAAGAGAACCGCTGCTCGGATTTTTAAACTGTCGAAAATTTCTCAAAAATGTTGATTAGTGAGAATAAAGGTACCACCAAGAAATTCATCTTTGCTGTGTGCCTATCTGGCCAGTTCGGTGTGAATAATAAACGGTTGGTATGAGGAGGATGCATAAATGTCAACTGACCTATCTTTTATCCTCCAACAATGCTGGTTATTATTCATTTCAGTGATCGTCTGGTGACTCCGTATCAAGAACATAATGTTCTCTAGTATTGTTCTCTCCGTAATCAGTCAAGCGGACATTTCTGAAAGGATAAGTGATAGAACAACTGATTATCTGCAGAGAGGCAACCAAGCTGTGTTGGCTCGTTACTTACTAACGTTGGAACTGAAATGCTGACAGGATCAGTGGCCAGCACGTCACATGGCAGGTGAAATTAAACGGGGGATACGTCGTCGTTTGTAAATTTTTTTCGTCGTTACAGCAACAGTTACAACACTTATTAATATCAAAACATCACATATTAGCGTAGGCGCATGTCGATACTCTTATTAACATGTGAATTACTGTCTAAGCTAAAGCTAACCAGAAAACTTCGCACCCCAGAGTGACCTGGCGTAAGCTGTCAAAGATGCTCCAAATTTGCGTGCTCGCTGTGATTATTCGTGCCTTTATTTTGTTGGCCACATCTTTCACGTTTCCATAGAACGAAGTCTGCAGTGAACTGTAAATCGAGTAAGAGAAACGTGGCCCTCGCCGATCGTTTTATTTGCAGCGTAGACGCCTCAGCCTTCGGTTTGCTTTGTTGTTATTTCAGCTGCCATTGTCAGGGTCATTGCTTCTACTCCTAGTTCCGTTTATACAATGTCTCATTTCCTTTGTGATGGAAGTATTCTGCACTAAGGATCAGGTGATCAGATACATAAGTTTGTCTCATTTCGTTTTTTCGGCTGTCGCTTACGTTAATGTTGATCAGTGTGAATGTGAATAAGGTCTTTACGGGGGTGGGGGGCAATGATTTGCAGCTGGCCACGGTATTCTTTGGGTAGATTTATAACTGCTGCTTACAAAGGATAGTAAAGGAAAGTTTGGTGTCGTTGGAATGTCGATCGTCCTTATACGTTCATGGTTGGGCTATTATTGAGACCTTCTTTTCTTGAGGTTAATGTTGCAGGTGTTGCTGTTGCATTTTCGTGCCATCAGTCAGAAGTGTCTTTTTTTAAAAGGAGACTCCGGAACAGCTAACGATCATACTGTATAGTCTCTTGCTTCCTTCCCTCAGAGTGATACTCATTTATCAACCTCAGAAGGAAGAAAATCGAGTGACTTTGAACGGGACTCGACCCAGGGCCTCTCCGTTCTAAGTTCGACGTTGTACTGACAGATCAACCCCTTTCTGAGACTACAGGTGATAAGTTCCTTTCTCAGTGGAATTCCTGGTTAAGAAAACACTGTCACATTCCGCCGTGAATTGAAAACGGGCCACCTACACTCTGTGCCATTGTACATTTGCGAAAAATGGTCTGAGCAGTTTGATTGATTGTGCGTGTATGATCTTTTGTATTTCAGCGCGTCTGAATTTGTGTGAAGAAGAGCTTGGAGCAGTTCGATGAAGGCTGCTCCCCTCACGTAGTCTTTCATAGCCCTTTTCGACGATTGTTTACATGGTTAGCGCTTGCCATGAGTGATTCCTCTAAAACCAATGTATTCTGACAACTATATTTTTAGGTGCAGAATGTTATCGCTTCATTCAGTTCAATAGGGAATACAGAAGGCCTGTATCTTTGTTGTTTCCTCATTCCTTTACATGTTTTCCTGGATCAACTTAGACGATGATCTTAGTATGCTATCAGTTATTGATAGTTCAGTATTCGTATGCCCGAAAAGTAAACGCCTATTCAACATGAAGCTTTCGGAAATCTAAACGGTGTTCGTTTATCAGCGTGACAGGAAGCGTTTTCGCTCTTGTGTGATGCGATTCATCATTTGTTATCATTCATGCAGTTCTGCATCAATGTACTACAGGTGCTGAAATACCAGGGAGCCTAGCCTGCTTAAATTGTCCTATGATTGCTTCTCCTTTCGGCTTGCGCAGGCATACGCGTCAGAAAGAACTTTCAAAGTTCCCGATCATACACCAGTGTGTGAGCTTGGGCAGAAGAAAAACTGAGACTGAAGCAGAGTCCTTCGACACAGTTGCTGCCGGTTATTCTTACCTCAGGTTATACCTGGGACATCGGCCGGTCGTTTGGACAATTAGTAGTTCCCTCGCTTTCATTTCTGGAAACATTCGCAACATGTTCCCAAGCCATCGCAGCTGTCTTCATTAGAAGCATTTGTCCCTGTACACCAGGGCTCTCTCGGATGTCTGTATTCCGGATCATCTGAGACGCGTAACGCCAGCGATTCGTCTCAGAAAGCCCATCTTATCCGTATGTACCCGGGATCAATGTTTTTCAGTCATAGTCCACGATTCATGACTGTAGGTAAGTATGGGAATGAAGAAAGGCTTGAACACTGAGAGCTGAGTCTGCAGTAGTCACAATGGTTCGGGCTTATTCTCGCAGAATACTGTTGGCTATTCCAATTGGCCCATCTCTCTCTTGATCGCATTTTACATTTCCAATAGACATGACCCAGAGAAACGTGAAATTGTCCACCTGCTGTACTGATTCTCTATTTATCTAAAGATAGCAATAGACAGGAGCGAGCAAACCCTAAGTTTGTATGTGTACATTTATAAACTTGTGTATGTATGTATGAATGTATCCTTATATTTTTGCATGTTTGCACTTGTGTGTGTGTGTGTGTGTGTGTGTGTGTGTGTGTGTGTGTGTGTGTGTGTGTGTGTGTGTGTGTGTG